GCAGGAATGTCTTGTGCCACTCTGTCTTTTGGCCAACCCCTCGAAGACTCAATGAGGTTGTTACCTTCCTCAGAAAACCACACTAAGCCCCTCGCCTGCCTTTGCCCTAGTAGAGTGGGCATTCCTATCTTGCAATTCTATAATGGCCTGTCCGGATGTGTTGTTGCTGAATACACATCATGACAACATAGTGATCTCTTTATAATAACAGTAAAAAAATAGCTAATATTTATTGAGTGCTTACTATATGTCAGGCAGTGTTGAGTGCTTTACATACATAAACTCATGTAATTCCACAACAATCCCATAGATGTAGGTGTCATTATAATTATTACGGATGAAAAAATCAAGGGCCGGAGACATAGTGTGTCCCCTGTCCCAGATCCCATGGCTTTGAGGGGGCGAAGCCAGGAGTCAAACCTGTGTCCTCAACACTGCCCTTCAGGATGCAGTTCCTATCTTACTGAGCTCTGTCTGATTCCTTGGTCTGTCACAGCACGTAGTGGGTGCCAGTGAAGTTCGAAGAATAAAGGAAAGAATGAGAAAGGTGCTCGTTGCCTCCACACTTACCTCCTGCCCTCCCCTCAGCTCAGAGAAGCTCACCCAATCCACACTCTCACTCCTGGGAATTCGTTTCTCTTCTCCCACATGCAAGCAACTAGAAAGGCTCAAGTTTGAGAAGCATAGGGAAGCAGCCAGCGACAGCTACAACCCAAATGTGTGTGAAGAAAAAACATCAGCCATCCACAGCCCACCGTGAGGCGGGGGCAGGGGGGTGGTTAGTTTATTGGATTGGATCGCAGCCTCTGGGGCAGGCAGGGTGGGCTCTGCAGGGCAGGGCACGGGGCAGGGTGGGAGTGGACTCAAGGTGGCCTTGTCTTGCCCAGGACGGCTACATCGATTTCATGGAGTATGTGGCAGCGCTCAGCCTGGTCCTCAAGGGGAAGGTGGAACAGAAGCTGCGCTGGTACTTCAAGCTCTACGATGTCGACGGCAATGGATGCATTGACCGCGATGAGCTGCTCACCATCATCCGGGTAACTCCAGGTGCAGAGGGCTGGGCCTGGGGCAGGGCAGCAGCTGGAGGACCTGGAGCTGAGAGCGGGGTGGGGTTGGGGGGGCTGGGTTTACACCAGGCAAAGCTGTATTCTCAAGGATGGAACTGAGGGTCTCGGTGGCAGCCCTGTCCCTCACCAGCTGTGTGACCTGAGCTACTTTTCTCCCCACTGCTGGGCCTTAGTTTCCTCGTGTGCACCAAGAGACTGTATGTATAAGCTCTTATGTCCCAGCTCTGCCCCTACTGCCCACTCTGCTGCTTGGCACCCTGGCCTCCACCCCCCACTGTTGTTGGCAGCCAGGGGAGCTCTCACTGCCTCCCCCCACCCACTGAGACGGAGTCAGGCTGGTCCTCTCGCTTCTCCTGCCCTCCAGGCCATCCGCGCCATTAACCCCTGCAGCGACCCCACCATGAGTGCGGAGGACTTCACCGATACAGTGTTCTCCAAGATCGATGTCAATGGGGATGGTGAGGAGGCCGGAGTGGGGGTCACCTGGGGAGGGGGGTCACCAGGGTGTGGGGTGCCAGTCCCAGACCTGGATTTTAGAGATTCCCGGACCGTTCTTTGGTCTCGGGCTCCTTTGCCGCCCCACTCAGCGCCACTTCCCCCAGCACTGGCCTTGGCCCTGTCTCAAGACGCCGGCTCTGGGCCCTGGCACGATGCTGCTAAGGAGACGGGAACTCCTTCTTCCCCGTGACTCCCTTTCTCTCCATCAGGGGAACTGTCCCTGGAGGAGTTCATGGAGGGCGTCCAGAAGGACCAGATGCTCCTGGACACGCTGACACGAAGCCTGGACCTTACCAGCATTGTGCGCAGGCTCCAGAACTGCGAGCAAGACCCGGAGGGGGCTGGTGGTGGGGCGGCTGAGGCAGCCGGCTAAGCCCACCACCCAGATGCTTCTGCGTTGGGGAGGGGTGTGTGGGGGTGCTGGTTTTTATACTAAATAGAGTCTCCTGAACTCAAAGGCTCAGCTCGCTTCTTTGGGCTGCATGGTGGTTGCTCAGGAGCAGTGGTGGGTCCAGAGGTGGGGACGGTGAAGGATGGTTTCTGAACCTCAGTGTGGCTCCGCTGGTGGTGACAGCTTCTTGCCCGAGGCGCTCCTCAAGGCCCCTGCCCTCGGGCTCTTCTGCGACCTCCCGGCACGTCCCCCAGCTTTCCCCATCTTTCCAGTCCCATCCTCTTCTAGACGTGGACGCTCCGAGGCAAGCTGAGCTTCCCCGGGACTCTGATGGGGCCCTACGGGTCCCATGGCTGCAGCCTCCATGCTGGTGCTGCGAGGAACCCGGGGCCACCGAGCCTACTTTTGTCGTTTGCACTGATTTGTCTCTCTCATTCAACAAGTATTTACTGAACACCTACTATGTACTAATGGTAGATGTTAGATGTGCAAAGAAAAGAACGTTTCTCATCTTCAAGGAACTCACAAGCTAAGCATCATTGTAATAAAACATGCTAAGGGAAGCGATGAGCAGGTTCCTGTAGGAGCACAGGGAACTGTGAGTGAAGGTGACTCAGGGACAGCCTCACAGAGGTGACGCTGGACTTGGACCATGTGGAGGAGATGATGTGTGGAGGAGGTTGGAGGTGCCTTCTGTGCGATGTGTGGGTGTCGCACGGGGGCTGTGTGAGGTTGGGAGGAGTTTTCTTCGGTGTAAATCAGGGGTATCTTAGGATTTACATTTTACCAATAAGGGATCATCATACTGATTTTTAGGGAGCACCTCCAAGATCCTCAGTAATAGCAGGAAAAAAACCCCAACAAACTTCTTCAAGAAGTTACAGTACTACCAAGGAGGTGAGGATGGAAATGTTTTAACGATAGTACAGATGGGAATCATGACTAATGACCAGCCATGGTGTGCGCACACATTCACGCACTCTGAGGAGGTATGCTCGAGTCGGATGTTGGCCAAAAAGTGAAAGAAGGTGAGGCGATATCGTAGACAGTCCTCGCTTATCTGGAGGAAATCCATATTTATTCAGAAGTGACTGCACAACACCTCCTACTTCCTCTGCTGGCTACTTGTTGGCATGTGGTACCTGCCCCATGGGTCCCTGTAGGTCTGGCAGTCACTGCAGATGACCTGACCATCCCTGGTCTCACCTTGCTGCAGCAACATCTGACATCTGTTACAGGTGGTCTTCATCCTCCTTCTTTGCAACCCCCGCCCCCCCTTAGGAATACCTGCCCAAGAAGCTGGGGAAAGACAGGCTGGAGCAGTTGTGCCCATTTTTTCAAGCTGCTCTTTCTTCTGGGCTTTGAGTTTTCATTTTGGCTGGGTGTGGGGAGCGCAGGGAGTTGATAAAAATCCAGGGTGGGAGGGAGAAAAAGAGGGCGAAGAACCTGGTTGCAGAGAGCCCACCGGGGGATGAGAGGGCACCTTTTGCTCCCACCCCTCCTGTCCACCGCTCAGACCTCCCCGACGGGGAGGCCAGCCGGGGCCTGCGCACAGGCGTGGAGGGATGATGAAGGTCAATGCCGGTGCTGCCTGAAACGTGGAGGTGACACTTCTGCTCCTTCGCTGGTGGCTGCCTCTTGGGAAATCCTGAAGGTCAGAGTTGGCAGGATATCTGGAGGGAATAGGGACATTTCCCCAGTGTCATTCACAAACCACCTTCATGATTTGGGGCATATCTATGTCCTACCTGGATCATTATTTTTTTAAATTGGCCACTTTTTACCTAAAATTTATTTCCAAAGGAACTTTTACATGAATATCATACCTACGAAATCACAGGTTCAACAGATTTGTTTTATGTTGCATACACCAGCATAAAAACATATCTATTAAAGGTAAAGCAAGCGTTTTTCCAGGTCCCAGGGGTAACAAGGACCCAGGGCCCTGTGCCCTCAGAGGTGCCTCTGGCTCCAGCGGTGGGAGGGTCCATGTGGCTCAGCCCCTCTTCAACAGGCAGCTCCCTTTTAACCTAGTTTCTATATTGTGGTTGCACACAGAGTTTGCATAACAAAAGCAGTTCCACATCTAAAAAAAAAATCATCTGGAAACTGCTGGTCTAGCCCAGTCTTGCTTACTGTGCAACCAGGTGACCGAGGGCAGGAAGGGAGGGGGCGGCCTTGGCTCTCAGAGCCGTTGGAGGCAAAGCCTGACCTAGAACCCCGGTCATCAGGCCCCCAATTCTCCCGAGACAGAGGGCAGGTTTCTCCTTTCGTTAAGGAGACACATCAGCCTGTGGCTGGGAATTGCGGAAGGGCCACGCTGGGGAGGGCCCTGGAGAGGCAGGGGCCGGAGGAGGGCTGAGGGGTGGAGCGAGGGCTGGGGCAGCAGCACCAGCGCGGTCCTGAAGCTGTCAGTCCCTTTGAGAACAGCTGACCCCTTCAAGGGCAGGAGCCTGCCTTGCTGCGGTTTCCCCTGTTGACACTCCAGGCGGGGACACTTGGGGAGGAGGAGGCAAGCGCCCTCCCATGAGCATCTCCTGCAGGATCCTGGGGGGATGTAATTATATCCCCCGACCCTCACCAGCTGCTACCTTTTCTTCAGGCCCAAAGTCTTCCAGCCCCTGCCTTCTACCAGCCTGCTTCCCACAGTACGGGTGTTCTCACCGTTAATTTGGTCTATGGGACCCCGTCCCTCAGTTTGTCCCTGCTTCCAGCTAAGAGCCATGCAGGAATTTGTGGGGGCCCACAACTGCCCAGCCCAGGCATGGGCGTCCCAGGAACAGCTGAAGGGGGTGCGAAGACCACTCCCTTCACCACCCCAGCAAAACCTCTCAATTGACTGCGCCCTGCTGGTGGCTTCAGACCAACAGCCCCTCCTGCATGGCCCCCCATCCCCTCGCCCGCAGCCCTCTCCGTCTGTGGGGCTGCCAGGATGAGTGGGCATAAGGGGCCCGAGCCAGGGGCCCTCCCACTACTCTGGAAACCTGTGAGCCTGGTCTTGGAGGGGTCTGTGGACTCCTACAGGGCCCCCAGGGCCGAGACTCTCAGAACATGGCGCTCCTCCGCCTCTGCTGGGAGATCCAGCCGCCGGGATTCACATCCATCTGCAGCATCCTCATCACCCACTTGTCATGACGGGCACCTCCAATGAACTCGCTCAGAGACAGCTGGTCTGAGCAAGGGGTGGGAGGGACGGTCTTGTGGAAGAATGAAGAAATGGGGCCGGGGCAAGAGGAGAGGCCTTTCCCCCAAGATGAGCCTACAACTCTTATGTGAAGGGACCTGCAGACTCAGGGCCTCGGCTTAGGGCCCGTGGATTCTCCAGGAATCTCCTGGAACCTCAAGGGCTTCTTCAAGGGACTTTCTTTGCAAATGAATTGAAATTTTTCTTTTGCTCATGGTACCGCTGAAATGTTCTCGAGGGCTCTTCTGGGTGTGCTCCCAACCTACTCCCTCCCTGCGCAGCCTTGGGGCTTTAATTACCCTATTTAGTCCTCTCAGCTGTTGTTATCCCCATTTCCAGATGAGGAAGCTAAGGCCAGGCAAGAGGCTGATGCATCATCCTGTCTGTCTGCCTCCAAAGCTCCTACCGGCTCGCTCATGTGCATGGCCTCCGCCAGCAACTGCAGTAGGAGTTTCAGCCACTCTTCCAAACGTAATGTCCTGTGCTGGCAACACACTTTGTTGTTTCACAGAGGAACACACCGGTTGTTGAGAGGTGGGGGGGCTTTGCCCAAGGTCACGTGGCCAGGAAGTGGGGCTGCTGTGGAGGGGTCCACCATCTCTGCCCCTGTTACCGCCTCTGCTCTCATCCACCAGAAGGAAGATCCTGTCCGTGACCTGCTCCCCGGCCGCCACCCGCACCCGGCAGGCTTTCTTCAGCTTGCAAATCACCTGCGGAGACAACCCCAGGGGCACTGAGGGGCCCCTGCAAAGTGCGCCCCTCCTCCAACCCTTGTTCCTCAGCAGCACTTCCCCAGCGCTGCCCCCAGACCGTGCATCTGAGGGCTACAGGACCCAGGTCCAAATCAAAACTGATGTGTCTCAGGGTCCCGCTGGCCTAGTTGCAACTGAGGAGTCCCTGACCTCACAGGCCACCCCATGCCGACGCCAGCCAAAGCCAAAACCCAAAACTGGCAAAGAGGGATGTATGTGTTCGGTGTGGCACTGTGATGGTCTCAATGCCACTTTACAGAGGGAAATGGAGACTCCAAGAGGAAAAGAGAATATAGTATATTTATGGATGTGTGTCTATGTATATGAATTAGGATGATGGGAGATATAGGTGTTTAAACTGGAAGGGAAAGAACAAGTTTCTCCTTTGCACTGTTTCCCCCCTACAGTGAGGCAGTGTTTGTGAAGTGAGATGGAGGAGAGACAGACCAATGAGAGAATTGCCCCTAGTTCTTGGGCTGGATGCCGTCTGGGAACAGGTGTGTCTGGCCGATCCCCAGGGCCTCACCGCCCAGCACAGCGCCTGGCACAAAGCAGCCCCCCTGACGGTGTCTGGGAGCCATAGGGGCCACAGCCAGCTCCAGCGCCTCCCGGGTGGACGCATGTGAGCACCCGCAGAGCCTCCGTGAGGCAACTTCCTTATCTGTGAAACGGGCTGGCGAGGCCCACCAGCGGCTCTGGGGAGTAACAGGCTAGCACTGTCCGCACGTCAGAGCCTGCGCTCCAGTAGACAGTCTTCTTTTCCTTGCTGGTCACACCCTCCCCATGGTAGTTAACCACCTCTATTAGTTTTTTCAAGAACCAACTTTTGGTTTTGTTGACTTTTCTTTTGTCCATTTTCCCCTATGTCATTAATTCCTGTTCTTTACAGTATTTTCCCTTTCTCCTATTTTCTTTGGTTTTAATTTACTCTCCTTTTTTCTAATTTCTTGAGGTGGCTTCTTAGCTCATTGATTTTCAGCCTCTCATTTTCTAATATATACATTTTAAGGCTATACATGTTTCTGAAAGCTCAGCTTTTGCTGCGTTCCACAAGTTTTGTTATTTTTGCATCATTATTCAGTTCACAATACTCTGTGTGCGTGCATGCGTGCGTGCGTGCGTGTGTGTGTGTTTTTGATGATTCATGGAGTATTTAGAAGTGTCTTGTCTAATTTCCGAACACATGGGGATTTTTCCATTATTTTTTTTTTTGTAATTGATTTCCAGCTTAATTCCACTGCGGTCAGAAAGCTCACTTGAATGATTTCAGTGCCTCTTCCTGAACCCCAGCCCCCGAGCACCCGCTTCCGTGGGCCAGCCTCAGAGCCCAGGGGTGCGCACGTGCCTGGGTGCCTGGCCCCACGGACAGACACTGACCTCTACAATGTCCAGCAGCTCCAGGCGGTCAATGCAGCCATTGCGGTCCTTGTCATAGATCTTGAAGGTCCACTTCCGCTTGTGCTCCAGGGTGCCCCTCAACACCAGGTTCAGGGCTGCCACGTACTCCAGGAAGTCGATGGTGTCCTGCATCGGGAGTGGGAGCCGTGAGGCCCTCCTGGTCCACACCCCACCTCCAGAGCCCGGGTGTGCACTCCATTTGTCGCCCTCCATCCCCAAAACTCAGGGCTCTGCCCTTTCCTTGCAATGCTTTCTGCACCTTTGCTCACGCTGTTCTCCACTCTGGCACCCTTTCCCAGTCTCCCTGATCACCCAATTCCACCGGTTTTTCAAGGTTCAACTCAATGGTCCCCTCCCCCAGGAAGCCTTCCTTCTTAGACCACTTCAGTCATAGTGGTCTCTCACTCTTCTAACATTCACAGCCTATTCTATACACCTACCACCTATTCTGTGCAGTTTGGGTCTTACTCTGGCGCTGTCACCTAAACTGCTCCGTGAGTATGTCTCATTCGCTAGCTACATCATCGACTCCGGAGAAAAAAGGGGGGTTACATTGCTTTTGTTTCTCTTCCATGCCTAGCACAGTGCCACTTCTGCACTGTGGGTCTCATAAATATTTATGAATCAATGAATACATAATCAACCTAACCTGAATTTGAGACCAAGGCACTTTTGAAAGATTAGGAAGCTGTGCTCACATTGAAAGTTTCTTTTGCCCTTTCGTTCACTCGGAGCCCAAGGGGAGGTGGACGGGCAGTGCAGCCGTGCTCACCTGCAGGCCCAGGTGGATGTCACACTGAACGACCGGCCTGCTCCCCAACCCCAACCCAGGAAGGGGCGGGGAGACGGAGCTCAGGCGGTAACAGAGGAAAGAGGGGGGACACAGGCCACTTCTGAGGTGACTCTAACCAGAGAATTAAACTTTCTTTCCTTCCGCGGAAATGTAACAGCAACAATTATTCCAAAAGCAGTAAACAAGGAGTACAGGGAGAACGTGCTTTGACTCCAGAGGAGTCTGACGTGAGAGGCAAGGGTGGTGGCTGCCATGGGTGGGTCGGGCCAGGGTCTCAGGCTGAGCTTCGCAGGGTGAAGCTTGTGCCTTATGTCCTCACCTATTTCAGGGTGGGGACCTCAGCTCTCCCAATCAAAAACCTGACTCATCAGCTCCCCAGGAGTGCCTGTTACTCCAATGACTTTGTAATCAGAGATGACCTCGCTGGCCCACAGAACACCTCTGTCTCATCGGGTTAGGCCACTTGGAGCCCCAGCCCCAGATAAGGGGTGCCAGGGTGAGCAAGGTGTGAGCAACAGGAGAACGCAGCAGAAAATGAGAGAGCAAAAACGCCTAAGGAAAACCCGAGGAGGAGCGAAAACGAGCCTACCCCAACCCCTGAAGTGTTTTATTCTGTGCCTTTTATATAATTCCTTCTGTTCCTTCGCCACATCCCCCCACCGTGTATTTGCGTAACTGAGATCAGACTGTAGCTATAGATTCATTCCCTGGATTTTTATTTTAAAATATCCCATGTCTTTAAACTTATTTAAAATCATACCTTTCATTATTATTTTTTTTTGAGGTGTACTGGGCAGTTCCTCTTTCTGAACATGGTTTTAATATTTTACATAACACAATGAAAATCCTTGTGAATATATATTTTTCTTACATCTCTGGTAATTTTGGGGGACAGATTCTTAGCAGTGGTTGTTTGTTCCTTTTCCCCTCCGTTAGTCTTTGGTGCATTGTTTGTATAGGTGTATAGTTTTATGAAATTTTATCACATGCATAGATATGCATAATTCTCACACAAACTCTCTTGTCACCTCTTAATAGTCTCACATCCTTCTCCCAACAGAGTGACCTGGCGGCCACTGACCTGTTCCCCATCATTACCATAGTTTCACTTTAAGAATGGTATAGAATTAGAATCATACAGCATGTAACCCTTCAACGTTGGCTTTTATTTATTTATTTTTTTTAACGCAGCGCAATGCCCTGGAGGTCATCTAAGTTGCTCTGGGCCACAACAGTTCCTTCCCTTTTTATTGCTGAGTAGGATTCCACTGCATGTGTTGTCCTTGATCTGTTTTCTACTCATTGAAGGTTATTTGGCTTGTTTCCAATTTCCCCCCCAAATTTATAGAAATGTAATTGCAAAATAGCCTTGGAAAGAACATAGTGTAAGTTTAAGGTGTACAATGTAATGATTGGTTGTTCTTTACAAGGCTATTTTCATTAGTAATTGTGATTTATTAAGCTTACTAAAAATTGACCTTATAATCAGTTGAATAGGAAAATGAATGCAAATGTCTGACAGGGACCATTTATTTTACATGCCTCATCTCCCTCTCGCCTGTTACCCTCATTTGCTGGGTGAGGAACCTGAGACTCAGAAATCAAATAAGTTGCCTAAGGCAGAGCCTTTCAAGGTACATGCCTTTTCCGTTTATCGAGTAGGGAGAACTTTCTTACTCCATTCTAGCTCTAGTACTGTCTAAAAAATGAGCCTGGTGCCTAGCAGAGAAAAACAAAAAACCAAAACTACCAGTAAATCCTTCCTCTCTAGATCTCTGGGTTCTTCTGCATCCCTTCTCCAGAACCTTTTCACAATATCATCTCTCAACATGATAGGTTTTCCACAACGACCCTGTGGGGCTCAGAACAAGTCACCCCACGGTGTGCTTCTGTGGCATGCGGATTGTTTAGAGCTAAAGGCAGCTTTTAATTGCTGAGTGGTATCCACTGCATGTGGGCTTAAAAGCAACTTCTGCCCCTCCCTTAACTACCTGGAAGAACTTGAATTAGGGGCTTTGTCCATAATAGATTATCAGAGAAAATCTCTTTTTAACTATCTATATGGCAGGACAAATTTCAATCTACTAAATGTCTACTCTTCGTATCATCCTGCAATGATCTTTGAAGTCCCCAAGGCATCTTAGCTCATCCCCAGCTCAGAACGCCTTACATTCCCATGTTTCCTTTCTGTCTCCGAACCTCTTGTGCATATGGGGTCTCTGGCTCTCTCATGGGCAGGGTTTCCATGTGTACGTATGTACTAAATTTGCTTTTTTTCTCTTGCTACTCTGTCTCATATCTATTTGATTATTAGACCAGCTGAAAGGAACTTGAGGGCAGAAGAAATTCCTTCCTCCCTTGCTCCACAAGAGGCGTATTCTCGAGTAGCCCCTCCAGACAAGTGATCCCACCTGTAAGGTTACTGCAAACCCCAAGACGGCTTCCCGGAAGCTTCCAGCTGGGACTAACCGCATCCGCTGTGTGCCGGCTCTCGTCAGCCTTTACCACCCACGGAAGGCCATGATGATGGAAACAACTCTGTCTAGTCAAGAAGCAGGAGCAGAAGGGACAGGCGTGTGTTCTGCTCTGGGGTTATCTGCTCGTTTCTTCCTGAACTGGCCGCACTTGTGCACCAGCCCTGACCCCGAGCTTGTTGCATAAGGATCCTGGATGACTTTGCGCTTCATTCCTTTTCTTCCACTCTGGTGCATGAGGGCACCTGGCAGGGAAGAGGAAAGAGTCACAGCGGGAGGAGCAGCAGAGAGAGGTGCCCCTCCCTCCTCGTCTCCACCAAACTCCTGTTTCTGTCGCCCCGGATTTTGACATGTGAGCTAGATCTATGAACTCCTTTGACTTTATTTGCCCCATAAATAACAGGCCAATTGCCCAGAAATGAGACTTGCTGATACAAAGATTGTGCCAAGGCAGGAAGTGGAGCTGGGCATGGCCTTGGAGACTAAGTGGGAAAGTAAAGGAAGAAGGCTTAGTTCCTGACAGAGGAATTTCACACACCTTCCAGGAAAGCTCCTCCTTGCAGTGGAAAGCAACTAATAAATCGAGATAGGATGGTGGAGTCAGAAAATCAGCAATGGATGCCAAACCTAGCAAGTGAAATTTTGATGAGCAACAGGATACTTCATCTCAAAGAACCCCTATAGGATGCTTATTGATTGCAGAGGAAAAATAGTAACTCACACTGGAGAAACGCAGCAGACACCAAGTAAGCAAGTGATGAACAACCTCAGTAACAGGACAGATCAATGTCTCATGCCCCCTGACATAATGCACTGAGAAGGACAAATGTCACCTCTGTGGCATTTCTGCCAGAACTGTAAAACCTGAAACTAATCATGAGGCAATACTGCACAAACTCAGACAATTGGCCTGTAATCTTCAAAAATGTCAGGATCAAATAAGACAAAGAAAGCTGAGATTAGAGGCCAAATTAGCCCTGGCCGGGCAGCTTAGTTGGTTAGAGCGTTGTTCCAATATGCCAAGGTTATGGCTTCAACCCCGGTCAGGGCACATACAACAACAAATGAGTGCATAAATAAGCAAACCAACAAATTGATGTGTTCCTGTTTCTTCCTCTTTCCTTTCCCTTCTTCTCTTAAAAAAAATCGATAGAAAATATTTCTGGAAAAAGTTTCCAAATTAAAAGGAAAGGACACAGGACAAGTAAATGCAATGAGTGATCAGACATCAAAAAAAAAAAAAAAAAAAGCATCAATGTTAGATTTCCTGATTTTGACCATTGCATTTGGTTATTTAAAAGAATGGCCTTGTTCTTAGGAGAAACTCACTGAAATACTTAGAGATGAAAGGGTGTGACAACTCCAACTTTCTCTTAAAAACACACACACGTATTTACATATAGAGAGAAAATGACATAGCAAATGAAGCAAAATGTAGACAGTTGGCTAAACTATTGATGGGAATTACTTGTACTATTCTTGCAACTTGCATAAATTTGAAATCCAATCAAAATAAAAGTTGTAAAGAAAGGAAAAAGCAATTGATGAATATATATGCTAACCTGTAAGACAAGATGAAGTATAAGGGGTCCAGCTATGTTATGCCCAGGGCTAACTAATCTCTTTTGGTTCTTTTTAAAAAATTGTCTTCATTGATTTGAGAGAGAGAGGGAGAGAGAGGAACACTGATTTGCGTCCCACCCTTCCATGCACTCAGTGGCTGATTCCTGCACGCGCCCTGGCCAGGGGACCTGCGACCTTGGTGCCTCGGGACAACGCTCCCACCGAGCTACATGGCCAGGGCTCTTTCGGTTCTTGAATTGTTATATTGAATTTTTAGATAAATATGGGGAAGACTGATATATTTATGAGAGTAAGTTTTGTGATATATGACCTGCTTTTTAAAAAATCATTTTTTCTCTTTTAAAAAACAAACTGCCTCCTAGGCAGGTGCATTTGCCTGGGAGCCTGAACGCTTGAGTATATGATCTTGGACAAATGAATTCACTTCCTTTTGCTCCAGTTCTCTCATCGCTTAATTTGAGGTAACAAACTCTGCTCCCTCCCAGGACTTCTGCTGACTCAGACTGAGGCGAGGAGGAGTTTTGCAAAGTCTGCTCTTTCTGTGCCCTAAGAGGGATTTTACAGGGTTCACCTCCAAGGAGGTTTCTGTTGTGCTGAAGATGCTGACCCTGCCCTGCCAGCCGCCGACAGGTGCTGAGACGTACACTAGCTGGTACCAGGGACCGTGTCAGACATGAACAGCCACCCCTGTGATTCAGCTAGAAAGTGAAGTTCTCCACGCACAGAGAAGAGGCGCACTGAGACTTTGTTCAGATAACTTTCTAGGTCCACCTCCCACATCAGTTTTGAAAGCTGAAATAAGCATTGGAGGCAGCCCTCAAGGACTGCAGAGGTGCTGGACTGGATGACCTGAAATAATGGACTTTCGATTTTTTAAGTCCTTACCAGAGGACATTTTTTTTTTCATTGCTTTTAAAGAGAGAGGAAGGGGGAAAGAGAGAGAGAGAGACAGAGAGAGACAGACAGACTGACAGACACATCGATTGATTGCCTTCTTGTACATGCCCTGGCCAGGGATCGAATCTGAAACCTGGGTATGTGCCCTGACTGGGAATCAAACCAGAGGCCTTTTGGTCTATGGGACAATGCTCCAACCAACTGAGCCACACTTGCCAGGACAGGAGTTTCAATTTTTAAATTCAATGTCCGGTGTGCATTTATAAAACGTATCTTCTTAGCTGCTGGTGTCAATGGAAGGCTTAAGGAAACCCTGTGGTTGAATGGTATCATGGAACCTTCCATGCCTTGAAGATCTGAAAGGGAGTTTTGCAATAATCCATCCATCCCAGTCCATGAAGGAGCCTTCTCTGGCATTCCGGGGGGGGAAGACCTGACCAACCTCAATTCGAAGGATCCCAACGAGGGGGAGCTCACGGTCTATGCCAAGGGGGCTCATCACATATGGGCAGCTCTTTTGCTCATCGTTAGAGTGACAGCGGCTCTGGTGGGGGGTGAAAAACCAGGTCCCCAGCCTGCAAAGCATTGGCCCAAAATACAGAGAGGACTGGACTGAGTGCCCTTCTGCCCAGCCTACCTTCCATACTCAGGGAGTGAAGAGAGGGAGAGTCAGATGAAAGCAGAGAGACGCAGGGGAGGGAGGAGACGATGGGAAGGCACAGATCACGGGGGAGAGAGGAGGGGAGTTTTGGAGAAAGAGTGAGACAGAAAAGGCGAGAGGGGAATGGAGAGAACAGAAGAGCACGGGGACTGAGAAATGGGAGCCCCCACAAGGACGCTCCTTCCACTCAAGGGAGAGAAATGTGTCGAGTGGACGGGCCACCAGTCCTCCCTTTCGGGGTGATTTACCCCATTCTTGTCAAAGGCTCAAAACATGCACTCTCCATACTGGGTGGCCTCCTCATTGCCTGTGACCTTGAAGAAGTGCTTGGACTCGTGCGTGAAGAGCGCGCCGCTGGGGCACTCCACCACGAACTTCTTGAACCACTCCTGGAGCTCCGCCACATCCATCTCGCCGGCAGCCTCTGTCTCCTCCCAGCTGAACTGCTGCCCCATCCTGGCCCCCAGGAACGCCAGGGAGCAAGGGTCTGTGTCTCCCCCTGGGCCTCTGCTGACTGGTTCCTTAGGTCAGGGTGCTCTTCCTTTCCTTTGCTCAGCCAGCCTCTTCATCATCTCTTGGGCAGCTAAACATGATGGGCAGTGTAGGGGGCAGGTGACAAGGTGGGAAGGACCAGGCCAGCTAAGCACCCTAAGATCATTAGAAGGTTCCCCTGGAAGGTCTGACCTCCAGCCTGCTAAGCTCTCCCAGCCTCACCCCTCCTCTTCATTGTGTCAGCCACTCAACTAAGCCACCCAGAAGATTCTGAAGAGGGGGACAGGGAGGAAATTGAAGGGAGGGTACAGTGAAGACTAGTTGGAAAGATAGGCTGAGACCCTCCCATGTCATACACACTCCCTGTGCCTTTAGTTGGACACCATACTGCTCCGGAGAGGATCATGTTGGAGACACAGGAGACTCTGACATCTATAGAGGGAGCAAGGCCAACTCCTAACCCATAAAATAAAAGTTCCCAGAGATCTGGGCTCAGCTCCTCTACGTGGTCTAGCGTGAAGCAGGAGACCTATGTGAAGGGTTCCAGGTGAGCAGCTCTGTGCCCAGGCTAACTCAGTCCGCAGCACAATCTCTTTACCTCCATTACAGAGCACACCCTTGAGTCTCGGAAGTTTCCCATTTTCCAATTTAAAGTACAAATGCTTCCCTCCAACACCCTTCACCCAAGACCTGGAGGCTTCTCCTACTCTTTCTCCATGTGAGAAGGATCTGGGATCATGGCTTAAAATATCTCAGAAGTCTTTTACTTTTATATTAAAAGTTCATGCAAGTTTGTTTTCGAATGAATTATGTGTTCATGCTTGTTCTAATGTAATATAAAAATGACACCAGAAAACCCGGAGTACTGATTTTTCTAGATTTCAGAGGCAGAGCCATTCTGGTGAGTGTCATCCTCTGCGGGGCGGCCCTGCCTGTGTCCCGTCGGGTGTCCAGGCTGGAACTGTTGGTACGGAGGCCTGACCCTTCCCACGGCTCCCTGCCCTGACCTCTCAGCGTTGTTCTAACTTCCTCACCGTTCCTGAAGTAGGAACCCCCCTTCCTCTGTCTGTCTCCCACATCCCACAGTCCCCAGGGTCTGGAGGATAAGACTAGTCTCCTCCTTCCTCTTAACCATTGCCTCCACATTTTCTCTTTTCTCCCTCAAAAACGCCAGTCCCTTCAAAGCCGTGTCCAACCCTACCCCTCCGTGTACTCATCCTGGTTGGCATTACTGACCAGTAACTTCACCATGTGCCTCAAAGCTTCATATTGGAGACATCCCCACCTACGTGGAGACCTGACCCATCCTGCACTTTGGCCTCAAAGGTCCTTGATCTCTCAGTTCCAAAGAGCTTTCCTTCCATCCCGTGTTGGCCTCCCATTCACCTGTGGTCACCTGCAGCTGCAGCACCTGGGAGCTTGTTAGAAATGCAAATTCTCAGGCCCCACCTCTCCTACTGAATCAGACTTTTGAGTGGGCCCAGCAATGTGTGTTTTCCCAAGCCCTACAGGTCCTTCCAGCGCACACAGTTGGAAAGCCATGCCCTGGGCCTTGCTGCCAGGCATTCCTGTACTTCCTCTGAAACATTCGAGCATCATCACCTCTCCTTCCTGCTCACCTGTTCTAACACCTGTACTCCAATTAGTCACCAGCCTTACTGAGACTTGCAACCTGTTGATCTCATTTTTTAAAAAAAACATCTGTCACCTCACTTACATCTCCACTGTCCTCATCCTTAGCCACGGCCCAGCACCCTTGCCATTTCCTTGCCATGACCCTGACCTTTGCACCCCTCTCTCTCTACCTGTAACTACTCACTTGGAAAAACTTGACCGTGGCTAAAGCTAACCACTAACGACGTGCTAACACCTCACTTGCACCCAGCAGCCTGAACACAGCTGGGGAAAAATCATAGAATCGCGCTGGCTGCACACATGTCAAATACCTGCTTCTTCTTCTTGGCCGACTTCACGCTCCCCTCCCTGAGATGGCTATTCCACAACAACTCCCACGCTCAAACCTTCCACTCGCTCCCGCGTTCAGCTGATGACCTTGTCGCAGCTTCATTTTCAGAGAAATAGCTACATCACACAACCACCTCATCTTCCCACTGGACACACTTCTCTGCGTCTGTACCGCGTGCTCTGCCTCTTCCTGCTTCCGCGGAAGCAGCGTCCCTTCCTCACTTCTCGCCTGTCAGGTCCTCCGCTTGTTTTCTAGGGCTCAGCTCTCTGCCCAGCCAAGCACTTCCTCCCCACAATGATTCCTTTCTTTTCTGCATCCTCAGTTTTTCCTTCGCTAATGGATCATTCCCATCTGAAGACATGCTTAATATCACCTTTATTAAAACAAAATAAAACAATAAAAATCCTCTCTTGACCCCACATTCAGGGTCCCATTAGCACTTGCAGGGGCCTACACTCTTTACTTTCATAGGTCATAAGATAAATGGGGAAAAATAAATATTACATAAATAAATATTTAAAATATTTTATCACTCATTGGTACAAGGATGAATATAATCCAGTCCAGTTCATACTGGATTAAATTTATTCTTCCAGTTTTGAAAGACATTAAAATACTTTTAAAAAATTAAAAATATTGTGCGCTCTTAGGCACCCTGGATCCCTAGGTCCTTTGGCCCTGCTCACATTCCCCTCCACCTACTCTCCTCATTTTGGCTTCTCTTACAGCAAAACCCTTTGTGGCAGATACAGTTTCCAAAAATGGCATAGCAATAGATCTGGTCTCATATGTTCCTCCCATCAATGTGGGAGTCTATTTCTCCTTTTCTTCAACCTGCATGGGACTTTGTGGCTACCTTATTGAGGAGGATGGGCAGAAGTGACAGAATGTAACTTCCAAGGCTAGGTCATCAAAGGTGATAGGGTTTCTGCGGGGCTCTCTCAGGATTTGCCCTTGGAACTCAGACGCCATGTTGTGAGGAAGCCCAGGCGCAGATAGGGGTTCTAGAAGACTGCCGGCCTCAACCACCGGACATGTGGGTGGGTGAGTGACTCCAGCCCCAAACCTTCCAGCCACTCCAGCTGATGCCAAATGGAGCAGACAATGTCCCCGCAGAGCCCTGACCAAACTGCAGATTAGTGTGCGAAGTAAACATTGTCTCCATTTTAAGCCACAAAATCTTGGGTATTTTTTTAAGGTAGCAATAAATAACTGAACATTCTCACACCTATTTTGTGTCCTCATCTTTCCTTTTTGTCTCTCTTCAACTTATCCAACTGGATGCTCACTCCATGAAAAAGGCTTACATAGTAGTCATCCATGACCTACTTTTCCTCCTCAACTTGCCAGCAGTCATCAGGGTTCACCAAGTGAATTCCTTCTCCAAATACTCTAGTTTTCAAGGACCCATACTCCTCTGAATTTCACTCTAACCTCAATGATTGCTCATCTCCTTTGCTAGTACCTCCTCCGTTTTTACCAAATCTCTACATGCTTGGGACTTCCCAGGCTTGTCCATGGTACCCTTCTCTCGTCTACCTACACTGTCCCTAGATGAATTTATTTATCTCCCAACATTACATAATATTTGTAGGCTGATAGCTTCCAAAGTTACATCTTCAACCTGGACCTCTCTCCAGAATTCCAGATGCACAAACCCAGCTGCCTACTGGACATTTATAATCAGATCACAAACTTAGCAAGGCCAAAAGCCAAAGCCGAACTACTGATTTCCTTCCCAAATCCGCTCTTAACCCTCTTCCACCTCAGTAATGGCATCACCATTTATCCAGTTGCTTAGGCCAAAAAATAGGAGTTATCCTTGATTCCTCTTAGATCTCATTTCAATCTATTATATTAGTAGGTCAATCTATCAGCTCCACTTCCAAACTATATTCTGAATTCAACCACTTCTCATCACCTCCACTACTGCAACCCTAGTCCAGGCTATACCCTTTCACCTGGTCCACCTCAAAAGGTCCTAACGGGTCTTCCTGCCCCCTATTGTCAACCCCTTCCTTACAGTCCATACCCAGTAGCCAGAGTAGTGCATTCTAAGGCACAAGTCAGGTCCTATCACTCTTCTGCTCCAAACTCTCCTACAACTTCACATTTACGCTCAGAAATCCACGCTTCTTCCCACAGCTGTGATGCAATACGTGATCCAGCCCTTCCCTGCTCTTTTTAAAAAAAATCCTCATCTGAGGTCATGCTTATTGATTTTTAGAGAGAGTAGAAGGCGGGGGAGAGAGAGAGAGAGAGAGAGAGAGGAACATTGATGTGAGAAACATTGATTGGTTGCCTCTTGCACACACCTGACTAGGGACCTAACCCACAACCTGGGCATGTGCCCTGACCGGGAATTGAACCAGTGAACTTCTGGTTTACAAAAACAACACTCCAACAGAGCCACCGGGTCAGAGCTGTCTGCTCTGTCTTCACGTTCCTCTGTCCTTGTCGGCAGACACACCAAGCTCACTGGGTCTTAGCACTGATTGGTCCTACTGCTTGGATTGCTCTCCTCCCAGCTCTTGACACGGCTGCCTCCTTCTTGTCTTTCTCCCCTCCTCTGAGAGAACTTTCCTAACCTTATCTTTAAAGCCACTCAATTAATTTTGACATTATCCTACTTTATTTTCTTCAGTGTTTACCTGGAGCTGAAACTACCTTACTTTTTCCGTTATTATGTCTTCCCCATAAAGTCTAAGATCCTTGAGGAGAGGTACTTCACTATAGACACACTACAGAATTCCCAGTGCTTGGCAATTATAAGGAACTCAAATACTTGTGTACTGAGCAAAGTGCATGACACATGGTTAGTGCTGAAGTAATGGGAGCTATTATTCCTTAATTTTGAAAGACAACTCTTCTTGACTCCTTTAAGAATGCCTGGGTTAGCAGGTATTTATTGATGTGAAAGATTATGGGACTTTGGACCTAGAAGAAGCCTTGAAGGTCAATGATTGTCAACCTTTTCCCCATCTCATCACACCTGAA